CGTAACAGCACACGTGCCGATACATCCATTACTCTGTCAAAAGCAAAAGTATCCCATATCAGCAGGGTGGAACGTACTCTAGATTTGATGGACTTGTTTTGACCCTCAAATTCTTCAGTCGGCCTTATACTCTGGAGGAAACCAGAAAACCCTCCAGCTCAGTTCAAGAATAAGCCTGTGGAAAGTTACTTCTTCAAAAGCAAAAGTATCTCATATCATCTCTTCTCATTTTTCTTCTCTTTATCCTTCATGCTGCTGCAAGATGGGGAGAAGGTGAACAATCAGTCGGAGCTCTGATTGCTTACCTTGTCTGTCACCTCTTTCAGCAGACCCCCTAGCTCGGCGACTTGGGGGACTCCTACTACATGGTTTGTATCGCGCTTGACCAAGCCTGAAACTACAAGTAAGCTTCAAGTGAAATTGATACATTACCTTGTGCATCTCCACCAGTTAAAGATACCATCCCTGGATGGAGGAAGAGTACTTCCAGAGAAGATGCCACATCTACCTATGAGACAGATAAGGCAAGTCAAGACGACACCACACTCCGATACTTAGAAGTTTCGTGATTACGAGATCATTATCCCACAATATTTCCTAATGTCATTTGTACTAAATCATTCACTCGTACTCACTAAAGGAGAGCTTGAACCTATGTACTTGTGTAAACCCTTCACAATTAATGAGAACTCTTCTATTCCGTGGGCGTAGCCAATCTGGGTGAACCACGTACATCTTGTGTTTGCTTTCCTATCTCTATCCATTTATATACTTATCCACACTAATGACCGGAGCAATCTAGCGAAGATCACAAAAAGCGACCGTTTTCGTTACCTAGGATCTATCTTGCAAGAGAACGGAGAATTAGATGGAGATCTCAACCATAGAATACGAGCTGGATGGAAAGAGTGCATCCGGCGTGTTGTGTGACCGTCGTAGGCCACTGAAGCTCAAGGGAAAATTTTATAGGACGGCAATAAGGCCAGCGATGTTGTATGGCAGAGAATGTTGGGGTGGTGAAGCATCAACACGTACACAAAATGGGTGTAGCGGAGATGAGGATGCTTCGTGGGATGTGTGGGCACACGAGAAAGGATAAGATTGGGAATGAGGATATCCGAGGTAAAGTAGGAGTAGCCGAAATTGTAGGAAAGATGAGAGAAAATCGGCTCTGGTGATTTGGACATGTGCAAAGAAGGCCGACTGACGCTCCGGTTCGAAGATGTGACTACGGGACAGAGGTTCAGGGCCGAAGGGGTAGAGGAAGACTTAGGAAAACTTTGGAAGAGACTCTAAGAAAAGACTTAGAGTACTTGGATCTAATGGAGGGCATGACACAAAACCGAGCGCAATGGCGTTCTAGGATTCATATAGCCGACCCCACTTAGTGGGAAAAGGCTTTGTTGTTGTTGTTGTTGTTGGTTGCTTGCATCATTTCGGGGTAACTCTGTTTCCAATTTTGTAGGTAAGGGGTGCCCAAGTTGATGAGGATGATAATGACCACCGCTTTCTTCAAGAAGGATATGTGTGTATATCGTTTTAGTTTATGCAAACGTATCTTTGTAGTTTGCATGACTATACACTAACACAGTATTCACGATTCATCAGATTACTGTCACTCCTCTTGGTGCCATAACAAATGCTGAGATAGACTGCCACACCTACTTGAAAGAGTGGCTTCCAAAAGTGGTTGAGCGCTCCTCTCCATCAGCTTTATAAAGCTGTTAAAGCACCTGGTTAGTATAACACAGTAAGTCTTCCTAAGTTGTTTTTCTTTTATGTATTGTTAATTTTGAACAGCCTTGAAATCTTATGTATTTGTGTGATCACACGCGGTCTTGCAACCGTTTTACTAATTAGTATGAAAGCGTTCTATACATTGAGTACCTGAACTTAATTCGTGGCCAATTAAGTCTTCGTGTCACAAAAACGCTTGCAAAGTTCCACAGGTTTAGTTTTAGTGATTACAAGAGTCATAGCGACGTAGTATTTTACTGCTATTGAAAGGAAATACTCGTATGTGCAGGATTTCTGGAGGGAATTTTCACGCTAACGTACGGATCCAGTAAATTTCTGGATGATTGGCTGCTACGGTGCTACTCTGAATTCAGATCAACAGGGTTTTCGGTTTTACTCTTGACATTATTTTCGAAACGTCAGTAATGATTTTATGAACTTGTTATTATAATGACAGTTGGGAACCCCCATTTTATACAGAATTACTGCCATTCTGTGAATTAATTTGGTAGCAAGTCTCCTCATGACAGTCGTTTAATTTAATTTTTGTAAGGAATGGGGACATTTTAGCTTTTGTTAAAATTGCAGCTGAAACTTTCTCATCTCAGTTAAGTTGCTAAGAACAAAGTCAGCCAAAAACCTGAAACTCCTACTGTTAGTTTATTACTAGAAATAAGCAAGCTGATTAACACCATTTTGGAAGGGAAGTGATTATGGCACGTCCATTTTCTCATCGTACACTCCTGCCGATTTTTGGTATTTTGATTGAATAAAATAAAAAGAAAATTAACAGGTATAAACAAATAGGAGTGTTGATAAGGAAAAAAAGGAGTGCGTGAATCATTTCTTTCCATATTGCTAGTCTTCAGGGTGAAAGTTTACCATAATTTTAGTTTGAATAGATCCTAGATATTATATATCTACGGCTAGGCAACTCGCAAATCGGGTGAGGTTAGCGTGGCCGGATGAGATCACTATAATATACATGAATCGGTTGTCCTATCCAAGCATTTGTTCATGATTAGAATGGCTTATATGATACAATTACAATATGGTAATATTCAGAAATGTATAAAAAAAAAAAATTCTTGTAAATATCTTTATTTTATTGACACAAAACACCATTTGATAATGTAAATTGCTCTCCGTAATTAAAATTTGAGTTTTGCCAATTTTTTCTTTTGTTGTAATAATATGGAGGATATGCACATTCGGAGACTTGTCATACCCTATAAAATATCTAAAAATCTAGTGAAAAATATGGGGTGTGCTATCCATACACCTCGTTTTACTTTACACACTTTTTGTTAATTTTTGTCCGTTGATCTTCTTCAAATCATCCGATCCGATAACCGAAAATTAGAAGAATGTGTGAAAAGTAAAATGGTGTGTGTGGATACCACATCCCAAAATATTAAGATTAAAGGAAAACTAATGAAAATAACTTGAAAACTTTGAGTTTTAACGATAAGGACAAAATAAAGGGTAAAATGAATAATACAAAGATTGACTTTTTAGTTTAAAAATGTAAATTTTCATTAAAATGAACAATATCAAGAGTTTTTCATTAAAATTCCTTAAGATTAAACCTCACTTAAATCTCACTTACGACGTGGTTTAGTTACATAAGCCCAGGTGTCTTGCTTCCAACGCATACTTAAATTAAACAGCAAAAGAAAAGGATAAAAAAAATTAACTTCTCAATGCCACTTCATCCAAAATTAGTCATCAAACTTTCGAGTCACACATAAGAAAATGACATAAATGACAGGAAAGGGATCCTCTCCAGATCCCTTCCACCAAGTTCTGCTCATCAACTAATCCAAATTCTTGAAATTTGATCAAACGGCTATAAATAGAGATCCACTTTAAAAGTTATAATTACTTTAGTTGTTTGATCAAATTTCAAGGGTCTGAATTGTTTGATGGGAGGGATTTAGTAGAAGGGATCCGGAGATAATTCATTTCCTAAAAGACATAAAGCAATGACCTCAAGACAATTTTGATTATTGTTTTTTTATTCATCCATGAACTAGGTTGGAGGAAACCGAGATTCAATACGTTTTCTACTATGCTAAAGGAATTTAGTGTAATGCTAAGAAGATTAAATTTGTAGATTAAATTAGCAAATCAAATGAGGTGTCTCTAATAGAAAATGGGTACGTTTATCAACAATTAAGTAATAATCCAATCACCAACTTGCATGTCATTTAGTTTACAATATTTAGTCTCCCTATTACTCAAATTTTTAACAAAATTTTGTAAATCAAATAATGTGGTTGTTGACAATTGGATTATTACTCAAGTGTTGATTAACGTACTTATTTTATATTAGTGACATATCAATTAGTTTGCAAATTTGGTTTCCATCAAATGAATACATAACATCATTCTGAAGATAAAAATTTGAAAAAATAAAAATCCATACAAATAATATTGTAATACAGGTAAACACTTTTAATTAATTTTTTTTTCTTTTCGAAAGGTAGAATTTATTTAAATCATAATCGAATAGAAACGTTTACATTCTCAGCTAATATGTTAAACAAAAACTTAGACCTTAATGAATCCCACAAGAAGGAACCAACATGCGCCGCCCCTGCATGAGTAGCAAGGTTCCCATCCCGCGAAACATAACAGAAATCAATCGTAGAAAATTTGTTTGCAAAGTACCATACGTCGTGAAGAAAATCTCCAAAGAAGTATCAACAACACATTCCCTCTTTTTCATTTGGATGGTGAAACACTTTTAATTAATTGAGTTACAAATTGTTTTTGTATACGCAGAGAATTTGAATTGTTATAGTTATCAAAAGTCAATTCTAACTTATTTTGGTATTTTAGAATTGTTGTACTAACTAACATATTGTTTGATAGTCATTTCGTTTTAATATTTTTTATAAATTGATAATTCGTTTTGAAATACTTTCAATTTCCAACTTTTATCTTTTATAAAAGCCGAGTTTAAAAACTCAAAAAGTAGATTTTATGTTTCAGTTTTTAATTTTCAGTTAAAAAAATAAAATAAAAACAAAATGGTATGAAACAAAACGATTCCTAAAGATGTCTACTTTATTGATCAAAATCTTTAATTCTTATATTCTATAATTTGTCTTGTCCATCACATTGTAAAGGGATTGTCCACTGCATCCCAAATTTCAAATATAAAATTACACATCAAAGTTCGTCACTACTTTTTCTAGAATCAAAGTCAATAAATCACAATATTTTAGATTGCTTGACATTTTTGTGCAATCATAAACTACTTTAATGATATGATTTTTTATATTTATTTTAGACATGTAAATCATGGAGGGTGTCCCATCCATTCTTTGATCGACAAACTGAAGAAACAAAGAGAACCACCTCAACCACTGCAAATAGACTAAACAACGAAAACAAACACACATGAAAGAAACAGAAAACAACTAAAACCAACTGCCCTCTGATTAATTTGTGCATAAACTGCATGTCTGATCGTATTCATTTGCTGCCTTCATGAATGAAATACGTCGTCGTTTCTTTTTAAAGAACCATATATCGTATCTGAATATGTTAAAGAAAGATTCATTCAGCTTTGAAGCCATTCAAAAAACTCCCAAATCACAAGAAAGGCATATTTCAATATTACATTTACTGGAAATGAAAAAAAAAAAAAAAACTGAGGAAAAACCTTTTTACATGTACACCAGTATCAAAATAAAGTATATATATGTGTGTGTGTGTATTTAAATAGTGTACATACTTCGCAGCAGGAAATCTCGCTCACTCATATATGCTATGACGAACATTGGAGCCTTCATATGAATTCATGGTTTTGATGGTGGCAAAGGCAAAGGTGTAGTACGTGTATGTGTATGGGCCTCCACTAGTATTGACCACAAGACATGCACATCCTCGTCGGGGCAGGATTTTACATCCTCATACAGAATGTAAATCCCTCTTCCTGCTACAAACAACCACAAAAAGATCCTAGATATTAGTAGTTGCAGTAGATTGTAGATGAGCGCGCGACACAGTTTCCAAAAGAAGAGGTTGATATTGTGCGGAATGCTCGAAAGTGGTGGGAAATGCAGGTTGTATGCATGAACATGGAACTAGAATGCGTAATTGCGTGTGCAGAAGTATGGAGAAAATGTAAGGGTTGGAGAGAGTGATGAGAACTTACTGTTCTTCGGAGCGGAATGGAAGCGAAACCACATCTTCTTAAGAGGAGAGAGGATGGAGTGCAGCCACCCCATTTGGAGAAGAGGGTGTGGCGCTCATGTAGGTGAAACCAAATGAGAGAAGAAATAAACAGTAAGAGAAAGGAATGGAATGGAAGATGAAATGTAGGTATTGCTTAGAGAAAGGGTGAAGTTTTTAAAGTCACTGTTTTCTATGACAATGTGTTAACTTCCATTCCCTTTGCAGTGCAGGCCAATCATGTATAATACTTTGCTCTTGGTGCCATGTCTTTGTCACACACACACACACCCTTTTATATCTTATAGCACAAGGAGCCACCCCACCAATCACATTTGCTTTTCCATACACTTCTTAACGAAAAAAACGTTGTCTCTCTCTTGAATTGTGTTCCTTATGCCTCAAGCAACATTTTCTGATTTCTGCTTACTTCTTTTTGTTTTCACTTTCTAAACACTTTGTTTATTATTGTCTCGAAATTTTCATCTAATTTAATAAATTCAAAGGCTAGAACTAAATAGAGTTATGCAAAAAAGAAAATGAGTGTGCGGAAATTACTTCCCTTATTTCTTTTACCATTTTAGGTCACTTTTTGTGTTAACTAAATCCCCAAGCTTCTCATTAGAGTCTTGTACAAGGCCTGTGTCTTCAGTGCCTCCACCTGTCCCATACTCCAATTTGGTTGCCTTAGAAGTGTGTCTCAGACCATGGTTTCCTAGCTGACTCATCAACCCTTTGGTTCCACACCATTCTTAATTTGCATTTGATTAGTCCTAAGTCTCTAATTAGGAAGGTGACCTTCATGATTGAAAGCACATTCATCATATCATTGATAAGATAAAGAAAACATCTCCTCCTCTCGTATGTGAGAAATGGCCTTTTGTGCTGCCAGGTTTTTGAGGATTAACCCCTTTTACCATCTTAATCACATATGATTAGACAGTCTGTCCCAATCACAAAATTAAGACCATTTCTAATGGAGAGGGTTAAGGGGCCGAAAAATGAACAATACTTGGCTACTCAATTGTTGCCAATTTATAATTTCGCTTTTATAATCAGAACCGTTCATATTATAAATCACCCTATAAAGATTGTCTCTGCAAAAAATCAATTAAAACTAAGGTCATTTAGTCATACAACTGTATAAAAACAAATAAATTGAATTGGTTAAAGAATTACGAGCCGTCTATATATTTGCTAGAATTAATTGACTCAACGGCCTTAGTTTTAATTCAATTTTTTAGGAGATGATATTTACAATGTGATTCATAATATGAATGGTTTTGATCATATGCACAAAGCTTTGTGATTCAAACACTAAAAAATTTGAGTATTAGTTCCTACTCATCTTTAAGTATCCAAGTAGTATTCCCAAAATATGGCTTGAATAGGACTGGCCAACCTTAGCTTAAAGGGGCATCGGACCGGCCAAAGCATGGTTAAAGGAGCATCGGACTGGCCAACCTTGGCTTGATACCTAGCCCGTTTGCCGGGGCGTAGTCTTCGTGTGCTAGGATTAGGATATCTCCGAGGAGTGACTAGAGGAGGGCTGGAAGTGAATGAAAAAATCCTGAAAGGGGAACTTAAATTCTAGGGTGAAATTGCAGCCTCCGAAGCTAACCTATGATCTATCAATCAATCCCAATACAACACAATCCCCAGATTCTGTGCGTAGATGCTAAAATTAGAGATCACATTCAAATTTATGATTTTGCAATACAAACAAACTAAATTCCAAGTATTTGAATTTGGGTTTTCACTTATTTTCCAGGATTTCCCCAGCAAACAAACAAAATTCAAAGCAAATGAGCATCGTAGATCCAAATCAGAGTGAAACAGCAATCAAAGGAGAACAGAATTGCAGTACAAAGATAAAATTAGAGATCTCATAAATAAGATATTGATTTCCGAATAACTTTATTTTAATATGCTAGTTTAATCAAATTAATCAAGTCACTTAATACTACGATCTAATAATATTTCTCTTTAGTTATAAGTTAGAGGTCTTAAGTTTGATTCTCGTCAAAGACAAGTTTAAACCATATTATTGCTAGCTCATTGCGATGTTAAACCTAACCCATTCTTTTTAGTGTAGATAATATCGTTTGTTAAAAAAAATGTAAATTAATCAATAAATTTAAGAAATAAACTTTGTAATAATAGATTATTGAAGGGCAATGTTTAGTCCATCCGACCGGAGATGAATATGAATATGAGTTGACATCATTTATTGTAGAGTTATAATATGAACAAGTCTATATTATTATTATTTTTAATTAATGATATTATCTATAGTAAAGAGTAGAGGATTGGGCTAAGCCTCAATGGGCTAGTAATAATGTGATTCAAATTTGTCTTTCGAGAATCGAACCTAAGACTTCTCACTTATAAGTGAAGAGAAGTACCAATAGACAGTAGTACTAAGTAGTTGAACGGGGCCATAGTTTGCTCCTTAGATTTGGAGATGGTCTAACAAGTCCAAAACAATTCCCCAACTGCTTCATTGGGTTTTTTTATATAATCGGAGTTTGGGTCTCAAGCGGGTAATCACTAAACTGGGTCCTATGATTAGGGGTGGATTTTTTTGCCAAATTGCCATGCCAACCGAATTGCCAACTGTGCCATACCGATTTTGTGCCAAATTTTTTGTACCAATTGGTAATAGTACGATATTGTACCGTACTGAAATTTCTTGGTACGGTATTGGTAATGGATACCATTATCACGGTATTACCGTACCATACCGAAAATACAATATAATATATAATTTATAAATTATATAATAGATAATTATATAACACATATTTATAATATTCCAATAATTTGAAAATAAAACCCTACTTATATTAGCATTGTTGTAGGAAAAAAAAATATTAGCATTGTTGTTGGTGACTTTGATCTCTTGAAATTGTGGAAATCAACCACAAAAGAGTTCCTAATTCTTTCACGAATAGCCAAAATATCTTTGTAACCCCTACTTCTACTGTTGTTAATGAAAATGCATTTAGCCTAGGGATGAGGGTTGTGGGCCCTTTTAGGGTATCCTTGACTCCTAAAATAATGGAGCCACGAGTGCGTACTAGTGGTTGGCTTAGGACAGATGAAGTAAATTTCTACAAGGAACCAACGGAAGATATTCTTCAATTTTACAAGGAAATGGAAGAAGAGAAAACAAGAAAGATATGCTTTAATTGTTTTTAGTAAATTTGTTATTAAATGGTTTTCAACTTTAATTCTTCTTGCTACTAATTAATATGTTTTCTTTGTTTGTAATGTAGGCTTGACACAAACTCAATCTTCTACAAGTTCAATACCTCCTCCAAAAGCTTCGACATCTCAAGCTTGAATAACTGATCAATGAATTCTCCTTTTTGAAGTTTACTTCCAATTTTTATTTGGTTTGAAACTTTAATTTCTATTTAGATTGTTAACTTCTATTTGTTTTGGTTCATAACTTCTATTTGGATTGTAAGCTTAATTTTCATGATGATTCTTGATGCATCATTTAAATTATTATATGTGTGAATTGTGAATGAAGAATAATAGATGAATTTAATCTATAATGTATGAGATAAAGGTACAAAAAAAAGTTTTGCCCTTGAATTGGGTTAAAAAAACAAAACATATTTTGTCCCAAAACAAAATGGAAATTACCATTGCCATACCATGCGAACCAAACTTTTGGCAATACCGAACTTCAGTATACCGAAAGTTTGGTACGGTAATGGTAATAGATTTTACCAAACCGAAAGTTTGGTACAGTAATTGGTACAAGGGTTTTGGTACGGTAATCATACCGAACCCACCCCTACCTATAATAAGGGTTACAGAAAGCGCAATACTCCTTAATGCATACTTACCGCCAACCTTACAGTTTCCATTTAACTTGCAGGTAACTTTTTGTGCTTGTTAAAATCTTAGTTGAACACTTTGAGGGGGAGACTAAATTTACATTTAAATTTGGAAAATACATGATGTGTCATTAATAAGAAATAAGTATGTTAATCAACATTTAAATAATATTTTGACAAAATAAAATAAAAAACTTAAATAATATTCAATCATTAACTTTCATGTCATTTAGTTTACAAAACCCTAGGAAAGGCCCTATACTCAGAACGTTGGTTCCTCTATATACTAATAATCTCTTTATATTAATACAAGGGTTTTTATCATAAATGATCCTTGAAATTGACCTACCCTATCAAGATAGTCTCTGAAATTGAAAATCGATCAATGTAGTCCTTGAAATTTACCACCAAACATCAATGTCGTCCTTACCGTTTAATTCTGTCAATTTTTCTGTTAGTGTTGATGGAAATTGTTTATTAACAGGATCGGAAACGGATGTCGTTGGACTATCGATCACAATATGGTGTGAAGGATATGAACATAGTGAATATAGAATTGAATTTCTTTTCTGACAGAAGGGGATTTACAAATATATAGATATGCAAGTAACCTTTATGGAGAAGTTGTGTTTTTCAGGAGAAGTTATAACTTCTCAAGTTGGAATATAACTGTTCATATCCTTTAATTAATTATATTATTTTCTTTCTGTATTAATTAACTTATTTCACTACAATCATATGTATATTAGTACACCAATGTTATGGTATACCTTCACATATGATTACACATATTGTGAAAACCATGTTATCATAATCATATTCCAACATCTCCCACTTGATTATGATGACATAAATGGTTTCCTATTTTGATTTGTTTCTCAAGAGTATTACTCATAAACAAATTGAATGTAACATCAGATATGTGGCTTCTTTACCTGGTGTGCACCATTCCACTTAATCTGATAACATTTTACTCTTTAGTAAAATGGCATCATATCCAAGTAACTAGGAAAAACAATCCATACCCGGTTACAAATGATGACTTAGCCCCGCACTATAGGCCACAGTGTTATATAAATTATTTCTTGAAGCTTATTACAGATTTTACTTTCAAGACGATTTATTATAACCTTGTTACCTCGCTAGTGCCCTCTATCTTTAATTGACCAAGTACTAAAGAACTAGATAGAGTCGCATCTACTTGTCCATGTTTTAGGCGTCCCTAAAACCATATAACGATGCTCGTCGCACGTCTCACTACAACACATCTAGATGTTTTGCAAACCCATTGTAG